TCGCTGAGGCAATGCTAAATGATTAATGATGGGTACAGGAAACGAAATTTGCATTACGCGAGTACATCAATCAAGCACCTAAACAAAGGTGAAGGTGAAGGAAAATGACTATGAGTAACATGAAAAAAAGTGGATTCCTTTCATTGTGCGCGCTCGTTATTTTAAATCTCAAACGTAAGTACAAACAAATATACATCAAATGCACCTGAGCCATCGGAGTCGATCGTAAAAACACCACAGACTGTTTGACCTCCTTGTTGCAACTCAGCAAAGTTCTTAGCTGTTGAGGAAAGTTGGCAGAAATATGAATACATGAATATGAAATTCTTGTCTTTTTAATTGAATCGAAAATGACTTAAATCCTCCCATATTGCCTATGCATTCATAAGTGTGAAAGGAAGANAGCACAATGGTCTGTGCTACACGCTTATATGATTGCGTAGTTCATAGAAGGTAGAGTCGACGGCTGTCATAATCGAGGTAACGCTTTCGTCACATTAATGCGCCTGTTTTGTAACTACCTTTTCAAGGTCTTAAGGTTTCAAACATTGAAAAAAAATTGAAATTACGATTTATTGAAGATCAAGTTTTTTAAACTCATCAATAGCTGTACTGTTTAACAATGCTTACAGATAGCTCACTTAATGTCCAACTTATTAAAAAAAACAAAAGACCACACAGACCATCCATCATCGTCTACAGTTCGGCACAGATGACCCCGAATGAGTGAAGGGCGTATGCATGACCAGTTTTCTTACATGCCTGATCATACGCATCATTTTATGACCCTCCTTTAATAGTATAATTATCAATTTGTCTCAACAGAGAGGGAGTAGCATGTACCCTTATATACACTCCTAGTCCTGTATACATGAGAAAAAAATGATGGTGGTTAGCAAAAAGTTAAATTTCTGCAAACATCACTTTTTAGGAGAACAATGTAAAGGCATAAATAGAGACTTTTGACAATTATAGAACTTACTAAGAGAAACTTACCCAAAATATTGCCAAGGTTCAGTGTGTAGGTAATATTCTCGTCCACAATGCCAAACTCGTGTACTCAGCTCACTCCTGAGGTCCACTCGTAGCTTCTTGTCTGTCTCATATTGTGTCAGACGGTAGATCTTGTTAAGTCCGAGCCAAAATTCACCGATGAGGAAATTGCCGAAGCCACGTTTGTAGTTATCCAAGGTGCGGTTAAAGTTAATGGATCGATTCATTCTCCTCTGAAATACTGTCCAACCTCCACCGGCCATTGTCTGATTGCAACATGCATCAAATTCACCCGAGCCATTAGGGTGGATCGTAAAAACGACGCGAATTGTTTGACGTCTTCGTTGCAGCTCAGCACAGCTCTTAGCTGTTGAGGAAAGTTGGCAGAAATATGAATATGTGAACATGAAACTCATGTCTTTTA